TCATGTTGTGAAAACTTGGTTCCCAATGCAGCGAAGTTCAGAAGTACGGGCTATAAGAGGTAATTTCTTCTTAAAAGGAGTAGATACTTAAAAGCATGCCCTTGGGGTCTTCACCTAGTCCCTAGCCCCTTCCTCTCTCTCTTTCTTTGCTTCCTGCCCCCAAAGAGATGAGCAATTCTTCCCCACCATGTCCTCTCTGCCATCATGCTCTGCCTCTTCACAGACCCACAGCAGTGGAGCCAGCAGACCATCCACTGAGAACTCGGAGCTGATGAGCCCAGGTCTCTCCTCCTCTTAAGTTGTTTATGTCAGGTATTTTTGTCATGGTGATGAAAAGATGACTGACACATGTCGATTTCTGATAAAAACTCTCAGAAAACCAGAAGTTGTAGGAAATAAGCTCAATGAATAAAGGGCATCTGCAAAAAGCTTACAGCTAGAGTCATGTTTGATGGCAAAATATTAAATTCTTTCCTCCTGAGACACATGGAAAGAATGTCCATTCTCCTCTTCATCGTTATACTGGGAATCTTAGATACTATAGTAAGGCAAGAAAAAGAAATAAAAAACATACAGATGTTAAAAGAAGGGGAAAAATATCCATATTTGGAGATAAAATTGTTGTCTTTATAGAAAATGCCAAAGAGAAAAACCTACACAAAATTACTTGAACTAAAAAACAAGTTTTAAAAGATCATAGGATACAGGACCAATACAAAAAAATAAATAAATTAAAGCTGAAATTTACCTTTGTAAAGTACTCTAGACCTAGTGGCACATGACTGTAATACCATCAGCTCAAGGGAGAAGAGCAAGTTCAAGGCCAGACTTGACAACTTAGCAGCACCTTGTCTCAAAATAAAGAATAAAAAGGACTCAGATGTAGCTCAGTATTAAAACACCACTGGGTTCAAGACCACTTGTCCATCCCCCCCTCAAAAAAAAGTGTTGTTTATAACAGCAATAAAAATTCCATGAACTACTTAGACGTGAATCTTAATTAAATATGTATGAGATCTGCATATATTCTACAAAACATTGAGGAAATTAATTAAAGAATAAATAAATAATACATAGGTTTATGGACTAGAAGTCTTGCTATTGTTAAATATGTCAATTTTTTGGACATTGATCTATGAATTCAACAAAATTCTAATCAGTATTCCCAGAAAAAATAAAAATTTTGTGTTCTAGCAATTAACAAGTTGGTTTATTTATTTTTTCCCTTTAGGAACATGAAAGGACAAGAATAGCTAAAACAATTTTGGAAGGGGAGAACAAAATTGAAAGACTGATATTATTTGGTTACAGAATCCAAGAAAACTGCTACATGGTACTAAAGAAAGGACACACACATATACAGCAATAGAGCCTAGGAATAGACCCACATGTGTGGTGTTAATTGCTTCTAAGCTAGAGATGTAAAGATAATTCAGTGAAGAAAATATTCTGGGAACTATCTAACTATTCCTTTGAAGTATAAATACCCTGTGGAGGTTCCAGGCCTAAGGCTAAAGATTTATCCAAGGCCTTGAAAGAGGAGCCAGTCCTTCCCCTTATCACACTCTGCTTCTAGAGACATGCTTCCTGCTAGGCACCTTGTGCAAAACCATATATCTTTTAGACTAGAAAAGAATGTGGGAATGATTAAATATCTATGTTCAAAAGAAAAATATCCAACAAGCATGAAAATCTATGATCTGTACACTAAACACTATTCAAGAATTATCTCTAAGTGGGTTCATGTAAAATTATAAATATTATAGGACATAGAGAAAAACTTTGTTACCTTGTGATCTTGAGAATTAGAGTAAGAGTTCTCAAACACATGCTAAAGAAGATCCTTATCTGCTTACCGATCATCATGTGAGTCATTTCCTTCTGCAATACTCTTCTACCATGATTTCCTGCCTCACCTCAGGCCCCAAGCAATGGAGCTAGCTGACCATGTACTGAGATCTCTGAAACTTGCTTCTAATGAGAAATCAGATGAGGACCATATTGGGAAATTAAGGAAAAACCTTCCTCCCTCCCAACACCATAGGTGTTAAGAATGTGCTCTTGAACATCTTAAGGAACAGAAAATTTTGATATATTATCACTATGTGAGTGAGGTGATCCTTTTGACACCAATTATTTGCAAGAAAAAGGAATTGAATACCCCAAGCACAGATATGATTAAGTCTTCCAAAGCCCAAATTTATTAAAAAATTTTTAGGCTTTTGATGACAAATCCACTGAATTACTTTACAAATTTTAATTTTTAAACAAGTAAATATTAGTCTCCATAGCCCACTGAAACAAAAAAATATGTCAATATAAACAATATCCAACAAAAATATGTCAATATAAACAATATCCCTTGCCATGAAGCAAAGTTACCAAATTGCAAAGAACTAAAATTATACTAGGGGTATTCTTTCACTTATTATAAAATTATACTCAGGGTATTCTTTATTCTTATTATACTCAGGGTATTCTTTCACTACAAAGAACTGAAACTTTAGAAATCAGTAAGAAAGATAAAAGAAAATTTCCAAACCTTAGGGGGAAAAGCACACTTCCAAATAATCTATAGGTCAAGAAAGTTCCCAGAGAATAAAAATATACACTTAACCTAGTGAAAAATGATATTTAAAAATTTGTAGAACACATTTAAAGCAGTACTTGAAAATCGATAGCATTAAAAACACATTACAAATAAGGAATAGTCACAATTTAATAATGTAACTGGGAAATCTTGGTGTTGAGGGCAGGGTGTTTGAAGGGCAAATAAACCAAAATCAAGCAGAAGAAAGAATTAATGAAGATCAGAGATTAATTAGATTAGAGACAATGGAAGAAATCAGGGAGATAAAGAGCTGCTTGCTTGAAATGATTAATAAAATTTACAAATTATAATAACATTGATGAAGGAAAGAAGAGACAAATTTTCAGCATCAAGTATTAAATGGAATGTTAATTATGACAGACCCTGAAGACATCAACAGCTTTTTAAGGAAATAGTGTCCCCTCCTTCCCCCACAGAGGGTTCTTGTGTTGGCAGCTTTGTCCTCAGGGTGCTGATGTTGGCGGGTAGAATTGTTAAGAGGTGGAACAAGTGAAGGGTTATTGGGTCATGGGCATCAGGGGACTTGGCAAGACCATACCCGCTAAAGATATGCGCTTCAGTCATGAGCCCAAGATGTCAGATGATTGAGTGGGTGGATGCAGAAGCGTCATAAGACAAAATTCCACACCTATGAATAAAAGCTCTTAGAAAAATAGGAATGGAGCAAATTATGGTTTAATTATATCTCTCAGAGCCGTTGTATAGGTTCTAATCCTGCACCTAGGAATAAGGCCTTTTTTCAGAAATAGCAATATTATGATGTAATCACCTAAGATGGGGTCATAAGGGAATAGGACAAATTGTTGTTTCAGTGAGACGTGTGACCTTATAAGGAGAGCAGGGCAGGCTACTGATTCACTGTGCCTTAAATCCTGATTATCTTCTTTCCTATCTAATAGATTTTTTATGTAAAATATTTGAATATCCATCCCTTTGGTTTTATGTATGTCCTAGGGGTACCTCTGTGCAGTGTCCCTGGTGAGAACCTATATAGATAGCATCATAGCTTCAGGGTGATGACAAAACCAGACCTATTTGGAAAATGAAATTATAAAAATGTTATGGTGAGAAACCCATGCCTGGGGAAGGGGTCAGTTCCCTTTCACTTGCTCAGAAAGCCTGATGGACCATGGGTCCCCACCTTCTGGATTGTAAATAACTTCCCTTGGGAGTCTGACTCTTCCCCTTTGATCTGTAAAAGTGGAAGCTCTGGTCCCAAGGAAAAAGATGTATCAAAGGCCTTGTAAGAGGAGCCAATTCTTCTCCATATCACACTCTGCTTCTGTAAACATGCTACCTCTAGAAACCACTTGCACAATTCTATGTCAAGTAGACTAGAAAATTTGACACTAGATACCTATAAATATTGTTAAAAAACTGGGCATAGGGGCTCAGAATTTGTTTTGTTTTCCTCTGGGCCCGCTGGTGTAAAATAAAATTTGAAGTTCTTTCCCTTGACTGCTGCTTGATGCTTCTGGACCAGTTTCCCTCAGCATCAGTACCACAAAATGCTGATCTTGTGCATCTCTACCAATCTCCATCAATTACTAGTGTCACCTTGGAACGCATATGCATTGTGTGTAGGACTGTATGGAGAAATTATGAGAAACGTTTCCCCATCTAACCCCCATAGGTGTTAATATTGTGCTCTGTAGTGTCTTAGGGAACAGAGAATCTTATCACAGTATCACATGTGACTGAGGCGCTACCATCCTTTATATAGCAGTTATTAGAAGTTGGAAGAAAAAAGGAATTGAATACCTTGAGCATAGATACTTTCTGGTCTTACAAAGCCAAAAGTTATTACAGATTTTTAGAGGAAAATGAAAAGTACATTGAAATTATATACAAATATTAATTCTTAAAAAATTAAATATCATCCTAAAAACTACTAAAGCAAAACAAAAAATGTCTGGAGTACTTTCTTATTTCTATTCCGAAATGGAAGCAGTTCTGGAGGCCCAAAAGGGTGATGACCACTGGGAGTTATGGCCAGGCATGCCTGGGCCACTGCTTGCTCTGATGTCACAAGGATCCACTGTGAGCAAGTGTCAAAGTGCAGGTATATAAGAGAGTGGCTTTGGCTGAGTTTTTGTCCACAAGTACAGGAAGCTCTTGGTGGTGACCTGTCGGACTCCCAGATAGTTAGTGCGTTTGGTGGTTGGTGGTTGGCGGTTGTTGGTGGTGGTCTTTGGATATTGGTTCTTTGATTTGGGTTTGTTGTTTTCTCTTGTTTTTGTTTTTGATTTGGGTTTATTGTTTTGTCTTGTTTTTGTTTTTGATTTGGGTTTGTTGTTTTGTCTTGTTTTTGTTTTTGATTTGGGTTTGTTGTTTTAGTCTGTTATTTTTTTTTTTAAGCTAGCATCCTTAGTTGGTGTTCCTGCTTAGGATGGATAGCCAGAGTAGTGAGAGTAGTGAGAGTAGTGGAGTGGGGCAGGGGCCTAGCTCCTGCAAGTCTACAGTCCTGAGGGACCAGTATGAGGTCCTGAGGGACATTGGGCATGGTGGGTTTGGCCAGATCAAACTAGCCCGCCATTGCCTCACTGGGGCACAGGTGGCAGTGAAAGTTCTGCAGAAGAAAGGGCAGAAACTCCAGCTCCTCTCTGAACCAGATATGATGAGGAGCCTGGAGCATCCCAACATTATCCAGTTATTTCAGGTCATTGAGACCCGCGAAAATATCTACCTGGTGATGGAGCACGCAGGTGGGGGCCAGCTATTGGACCAAGTCCCGCTGGGTGGCATGCAGGAGGAAGAGGCGCGACGACTGTTCCGGGAGGTAGTGTGTGCCGTAGCCTACTGCCATGACAAGGGCATGGTGCACCGAGACCTGAAGCCAAAGAACATCATGCTGGATGACAAAGGTCACATTAAACTTATCGATTTTGGCTTCAGCACCTGGGTCACACCAGGCCAGAAACTGAAGGAGTCCTGGGGCACTCTCTCACACATTGCCCCTGAAATTATCCAGAGGCAAGCATATGAGGGCCCCCCAGTGGACATCTGGAGCCTGGGCGTCATTCTTTATTTTATGTTGACAGGGAAGCTCCCATTTATGGGATCCACCCGTAAGGAGACGATGCGGCAGATCGTGCTGGGATTGTACCGGGACCCTCCCCATGTTTCTCTGGCAGCACGGATGCTCATTTACCAAATGCTGAACCTGGACCCCAGGAAGCGGCCCACAGCCAAGCAGATCCTTCAGCACATATGGCTGATGCAGGGTGAGCGGCATTTACCCCCTCATTATCATGAGGCACTCCTCAAACWGCCAGACCCCGAAATACTGACCATAATGTTTGATATGGGTTATGATCTACGCAAGACCTGGATGTCCCTGGCCAAGAGAAAGTTCAATGGAGCCATGGCTACCTACCTTCTGCTCCAGCACCAGAAAAGCCAGGGGCAGGGCTTCATGTTCCAGGGGAAGCCTGTGCCTCAGAGGGTGAAGCCTCACCTATGCACCCTGGATCTTTCCCATTCCCCTGTCCTCCCAATAAGGAGCCCCAGTGAGCCTGTCCTGTGCACCTTCTCCTTGCCCTGTGAGCTTCCTCTGCCTGAGGCCAAAAGCTCAGGGCAGAAGCACATCAGGACGGCCAGCCAGCCACCTATTCACTTCCATTTCCCGCCTGCAAGAACCCCCACACCTGGGTTAGCCTCCCAGTCTGACTCTGGGCAACTCCACGCCAGCAGAAAGCTCTGGAAGAGGGTAACTAGAGGGTTTGCTACCTGTGTCCGAAAACTGTGCTGTTGCATACCACGTGTCAGCATTAGGGTAGCTCCAATGTAAGAGCAGAAACCTGCCAGATTCATGAAGTGAGGCTCCAATGAAGGGGAGAGCTGACCAGACAATACCAGGGGGCAGCCAGAGGACCCTGTTCTCTGTGGATCCTGACACCTTGCCTGGGCCTCAGTCATGTGGACTCTGAACAGCTACAGGAGAAGATGTGCCAATCACCTCAGATGTCTCTGCATGGGTTCCAGCCCAGAGCACTTCTGCATCCACCTGGACATCAGGAGTCTCCTCTGCCCCCACCTGCAGAAGACATCAGAGATGGCTCCCTGGGACACTCCCCCCTGCACTGCTCTTCTGTCCTTTCTCCCATTCTCCTGAGGCGTTTCTTAATATTTTTCAAATTTTGTAATAAAAGTATTGTTCAAAATGTTTATAGATGCTTTATTTGTAATCACCTCAATCTGGAAACAATTCAATTGTCATTTAGGTGACGAATGGATAAGCAAACCATGGTATGTCCATACTGTAAAATGCTTCTCAGCAATAACATGAACAAGTCTTGATTTAAAAAAAAAAATGGATGAAAATCAAATACTTTACACTAAAGGAAAGAAACCAGATTCAAAAGGCTATGAAGTACATGATTCTATTCACATGGCTTTTGGAAAAGACAAGACAGGCCATTGGATGCCAGGGGCTGGAGGTAGAGAGAAGGGATGGATTTCAGAGAACCCCAGGGGAATTGTTTCTTTGTAGTGCTGGTACATTGAACCCAGGCCCTTGGGAATGACAGGCAAGCTTTCTACCACTGCAGCCGCAGCACAAAGGGGGGACTGTTTTAATTAGGGAACTGTGTCTGGATTGTGATAACATATGTGACTGTATATATTTGTCAAAAGTAGCAGAACCAATAGCCAGGTGTAGAGGTGCACATCTGTTACCTCAGAAACTTGGGAGGCTGAGGCAGTAGGATTACTAATTCAAGGCCAGTCTTGGCAACTTAGGCCCTAAGCATCTTACTAAGACCCTGTCTCAAAATTTTAAAAAGGCCTGGGATGTAGGTCCATGGTAGTGCAATCCTTGGTTCCATTCCCAGTAAAAACAAAAACAAAAACAAAAAAATATGCGGAACTAAAGATGAAAAGGGTGAATTTTGTAGTGTGTAAATAAAACGGAAAAATGTAAAGAGCCAAGAACAACCAAGAAAATTTTGAAGAAAACCAAAAAATTGAAAAAGTATTAGATATCAAGAAATATAACAATTATATGATTAAAATAATCTATATTGGTTCCTAGAAAAATAGAATGTTGATGCAAAATAAAGAACTTAGAATCATCTATGTATATGGAATCTTGATAAATGCTAGTAGAGGGTGGGGCAGGTCTGTCTTTGCAATAAGAGGATACGGGATCATTAGTTTATTATGTAATTTTTTTAAAGTACAACTTATTTTCTGCCTAACAACCTGTACAGAAATCAACTCGCTTACCAAACGTTGTCTAGAATGTGGAACAACAGGAAATCTCATACACTGCTGGTGAGAGAGTATAAAGCGATCCAAGCATTTGGGGAAAGAGTTTAGCATTATTTTCATAATGTGAAAATGTGCATACCCCATAGTCCAATTCCACTCCCCGGTAGGCACATATTCGACAGAAATATGTGTCCACATGTATCAAGACACATGGCAGCATTTGTCATTATAGCCCCAAACTAGAAACAACCTGAATATTCATTAATAATGAAATGGATCAGTAAAAGTAGTGTTTTCTACAAGAGTGTAGCATAAAACAAAGGAAGGAGTAAACTATAAAATGGGTGCTATGGTTCATGGTGGGAAACCTGTCCCTTTCTCTGGGTTGTCTTTTTCCTCTTTATGGTGATTGAAGAAATTTGCATTCATGGCCCCAGTTTTTCACTCTTTCTAGCAGTCAAGCTCTTGGCATGTGACTTTGTAGTTCCCCTTAGAATAAAAGGTGGAATCATCTCTCTGCCTCTTGATTCTGGGTTTCTTTGGCCAACAGAATGAGATGCAAATGAGAAGGATCCAGTTCTGCGTGTGTCCTCAAGAGACACTGCATGGTTTTCCTTCCTTTCTTCCCCTATCTGCCCCCCAACTTCTTTGGCTTCTTATGTTTCTAACATCACTATTTGAGAAAGACACATCAAGGGGTTTTCCTTTCGTCCTATCCCTTTTTCCTATGCCCCTAATTCCTTTATATGTTGGATATATTTGTAAATGGCTTTTAATTTTATAGAAGCTCACAATGAGAGATGGCCTTGAGCTTCAGAGAGCACATTGGACTTGAACTTTGATCAATCTCAGAACTGTTGAGACTGGGAGGACTCTTGGGAACAGACAATGGATTTTGCATTGTGAGATGGTTGTTAGCTTTTGGGGGTCAGGGGCAGAATGTTATGGTTTAGATGTGGTTTTCCCCAAAATGACATGTGTTGGACAATGCAAGAGGGTTCAGAGAAATGATTGGGTTGTGAGAGCCTTAACCCAATCAGTGATTTAATCCCCTTAGAGGACTTAGCTGAAGGGTAACTGAAGTGGTAGGGTGTTGTTGGAGGAGGTGGGAATTGTGTGGCTTTGGGTATGTACCTGTATTTGGTGTGTGGATTCTCTCTGTCTCCTGATCACCAGGTAAGCTGCTTCCCTCTGCCACACTCTTCCACCGTGAGGTTCTGCCTCACCTCGAGACTGGACGAATGGTGCCAGCCCTCCATGGGCCTCTGAAACCATGAGCCCTCAAACTTTTCCTCCTCTACAGTTGTTCTGGTTAAATCTTTTGGTCACAGCAGCAAAAAGAAGCTAAAATAGTGGAGCGACAGTTACTGTCCTGGCTGCCACCCACAGAGGTAGGCCCAGTGGTGGTGTCCAAACCAGACCATTTTTAAAGCAGGAGTTTGCCTATGTTCCCACAACCTGGTCTCTTCTTTCCTACTTTATATTGTTCCAATTTCTTCTTAAATTAGATTCATTTCTCATTGTCTATAATACAGAGCCAGGTAAGGCAAAACTGTTTTCAGTATTTTAGCAGAAAGGCAGCCACTTTGTTGAGACAAGACCACCTGAAAGCACAAGGGAAGGATCTATGGCTTTGCTAAAGGAGGCTCTTTCTGCCTACAGCCAGGAACCAGAGATGTCAGAAAGTCAGATAATATTAAGTCAAAGTCTCTACCTGTTGTAATTAGTTTTTGTGCTGCTGTGGCCAAAAGACTTGACCAGAACAATTGAGGGCAGGAAGAGTTTGTTTGAGGGCTCATGGTTTCAGAGTCCCAGTCCTGACTGACTCCATTGCTCTGAGCCCAAGATGTGACAGAACATCATGGCAGAAGAGTGTAGTGGAGAAAAGCACCTCAGGCCATGGCCACCAGGAAGCAGAGAAAGAGACTCTGAAGACCAGGGACAAAATGAATACCGAAAGGCACACCCCCAATGACCCTTCTCCTCCAACCATATCCTACCTGCCTAACAGTTACCACCCAGTTAGTTGATTCTAGTGGATTAAGCGTCTCAAAACCCAATCATTTTACCTCTAAACTTTCTTGAATTTTTCACACATATGAGTTTTGGGGAGCTACCTCTTACCTAAACCATAACACTGCCCCAAGTTGCCATAAGTGAAAGAGCAGGAAGAGGACGTAAATATCACAGTATTTACAACAGAGATATGGAAAAGCCTGGCCCCAACCCCACCAAGCACTAACTCCAGGAAACTCTTTCTTTGACAAAGGTATCAACTGCCTATGCACAAACTTTTGTATGTAATATCTGGGGTTCATGGATCCCCAAAGAATATTTCTGCCTCAGATACCTGAAAATGAATGTCATTCAAAAAATAATAATCAAGCACAGAAATGTAGCCACCAATGGGCTTGCCCAATTGGTTACTAAAGATTAAACTATTGATTCATTAAAAAAAAAATACAGAACTGATCCTTACACTTAGCAGGAAAATGGAAAAACAAATCTACAGAGTGCACTTTTCAAATTCAAGAACAGTACAACTTTTCACATAACTATCTTTTCTTTGGTATTCAGTAACTACACATAAAAGGGAGTTTTGCTATACAGTATATTAACTCCTCTTTATTTGGTCAATTTAAAAATTCCTCTTTCCCTTCAACAATATCCAAATGAAGATTTTGTCTTTTCCTCTTCCAACTTTTGTTTTTCCAAATGGACCAGAGCCCAGTAATACTAAAGGAAGAGTTTTTCCTCCGGGCTCAGTGAGTCCATGGAGGACAATGATTCAGGTTTTCTCTGTTAATCTAAATCTAGCACCAGAAATAAAGCTTTGTTCCTGGCCTGTAATCCTCTCCAAAGCAGATTCAACTGAATTTGTTTGAAGTTGTACTGCTAAAGTAAAGACAACATGGTACCTAGACGTAATCCCCATTCTTCCATACTTCCAGTAAGAAGCAGTATAATCAGCCAGCCTCCTCAAATGAAATGTATGTATTGAATTGAATTTCTACCTTTGCCCTCCTTGTCAGAGTTATCCATTACTCTCCATTCCCTTGAGAATATTCTTATCACATCACACAGGGATTACAACATCCTCTTAGAAGCTTGACCTACTCTTTTCCCACTCCCATCAGATTCTACATAGTACATCAAAATGACTTTTCTAAAACCAATCATTTTTCTTCTTCATTTTATTCAGGGGATACCCACTGCCTTACAAAGAAGTCTACACACCATAGCATGCCTGCAAGGCCATTCAGAATTTAATACCCTCCTGACAGCAGAGTCTCTTTGGCACTTCTTCTCCTTCAGTTCCATTTACATTTCCCCAAATGCATCTTCTTTTTCTTGTGTCTGAGGCTTTGCCAGGGGAAGAGAAAGAGACTATGGTTGAATGTCTTTCTTTTCTGTTATTTGTTTTCTTTCTCCTCCACCTCTTTCTTTCTTTCTTGTTCTCCTAGTGAAATCTGCTTCTCCTTCAACCCTCAGCTCACATGTTACCTTCACTGGAAGTCTTGCAGACTGCCCAAACCTTAGCTCTGCGTGTTGCTCCTTAAAGGCTATCACCATGTCGTA